TTTTTTGGAAATCGAATTTCCCAGAGGAACCCACCCGAGGGATTAATAAAGTTCTATCTTATCTTATCTCTCTTATCTTATGTTTGTTTGGATTTACCGTGACAAGAGAATAATTCACTCATTGGAAAATATTTCACTCTGCTTTCTTAAATTCATGCTAATCAGCTCTATCACATGCTGTTTCATGGAATATTTGCATCCAGGCTACAGTACACAGACTCCAAGGCCTGCATCCTGGAAGTCCACCAAACACTGCTTCATCTTTTCTCACTCCTCCTCATGTTTGATCTGCTCCTCAAGTGCTCATATTGCAACTCCAGAGTGCCAAAAAGTCCTCCTGCACTGGCCCAAGTTTTTAAGAAGCCTTGATACTGCACTTGTACCTAATGCACTCGACTCCATTAAGCCCCCAAAAGGTTGTACTGGAATCCACACTTATATCATGACAGAGGTGTGAAGGGTTCCAAGTGCAGCAGCAAAAAAACACATTCTGTCTGTGCCACATCTGTCTGCGCTTATTTTTGTCTGTGGCCAGACACGTGTGAAAAAAACAGCTGGGACGCTGTGTAAAGTGCACTTCAAAATAATAGAATGGTTATTATATTCAAAATAGAAAGTACATGATAGAAATAGTATAAAAACATATAGATGTCCATCACATTTCGCTATGATCCACAATCAAATCTCCACTTTGGCATTGGCAGTTGTTTTTTTGTTTTGTTTTTGGATACCTCATCTTTTATGCCCTGGGAATTCTCTGCTTTTCCACATTAGCAATGTGATAGAGCGGTGAACTATCCTTCATTCTCACCAAATATATTGCATATAAAACTATGGAAGGGTAAGTGTGAGTAAATATCTCCCCAGAGCCTGCAGGTGGGCTGAGGGTCCTGGGCAGCAGCGGTGCTGGCATGTTAGAGGAAGAGATGAGAGGTTTTGTTGCTTAAATAGATCTCCAAATTGTGAACGTGTGTTTGCACATGACTTGAGGTGACTGAGGCATGTCACCTCTGTGTGATACAATTTACCTTGGGTTGATGGCCTGAACTAGTTGATGCTTCTGTTCATGCTTTTTTCCTTATTGTGTTTTTTTTTTTTTTACCACATCATGTCCTGCCTTCATGTCCTTGTCCCTCTTTTTGTATCATTTGTGCTCCTGGTCTGATTCCAGTAGTAACCTATTAAGATCATAGCACTTGATGGAGAAAAAAAGTTTAATGAAAAGCCTTTGTTTTCTTTCTTTTTTTCTTGTTTATCATAATAATATATTCTATAAAGACCTTCGTTTCTTCTCATTACCCCAGGTGATGATATACTCTTACTTCAGCCATTCTGTATTCAAGGTATCGAGTGCTGCTATTGATTGGCTCTGTTAACTTGTGCAGTAAACACTGCAGTTTATCAGGGCTTGTCATCTCATCACAGAATGAAACACTGCGTCTGCTGAGCTCTAGATAACATAACCAGCTTCAAAACAGGCTGCGAGGTAAAGCAACAAACCCAAACTTTAATGTCTCAGCAGCTGGACGGAACAAAAAAAACTTTTGCTCTGAAGACTGCCAGGTGTACAGAGAATTAGAGACAAGTAAGCATCACTGAAATTAGCTCTTGTCATAGGAATGTGCAGCTGTAGGAGTGCTTTAGATTTATAGAACAAATACTTATGATCTCCTGGTGGAGGCAGTGTGTGTAATGATAACATTTTATTCTTTCTACTCTCTGTACACTGCAGAAACAGAGATAAACAATCAAATAGCTCTCATTTCCAGGTATTGTCAATAGCAGGGGTTGGGGGAGTGTGTGTGTGAAAATGATTGCGGGCCGGAGCCGAGCCTGGTGTGATGTGGCATTTGGCTGTGTGAGCCTCCGGGAGGTCAGGCTGTCAGGACAACTGACAGTCAGCTGAGCACGAGCCAAGTGATGCTGCGGGGAGCAGGCCGAGGCGCTGGCTGGCCAGAGCCACTGCGAACCAAACTCCCAACTCTCGTTAAAGTGCGAGTCGCCTGCTATGATGAAGAAAACAGATTCGTAAGCCCACTTTGCACCCAGCTGATAAAGCAAAAAGGTGAGGTTTTTAATCCAAGGTGTGTTTTTTCCAGTACCGTTCAACCGCTGCATCAAACCTTTTGCCAAATCGTGCTCCCAGAACTGAATTCTTTTTATAAACCATCTGCCTCGAGAGGACGGGTTCTCCATCTTTTGCCCCACCTTTCACGCAGTCTGCCCTGCCCTTCCTCCTTCCCTACTTTTGTTTATTTCCTGTTAGTCTCAGATCTCACGTCGCTCTTTCCTCCCACAAAGCGAACTATCCATTTGTTTGAGTGAGGGAGCATTGTCCAGCACAAGAAGGCTGAGCCACTAAAGGATGCAGGGACCAATCTGTCTTCTAACATGTCACCTGAGGGCTGTGGTGCTGCTGCAAATCAGTTTTACTTTCATCTCCTGTTGATAACACAGAAGAAACTTTAATAAAGCTTCATTTTTAGCTATTAGACACGGGTGTAGCCCAAGTTAGTGGCCAAAAAACAAGAAACAGATTATAGAAAACTAATCTGCAGAGTAGCTAAATATGGGGAAATTTTTGTTTAAGGGCAGAAGACAAAACAATCCATGGCTGCGTAATTAGCCAAAAAGGCTACTTTTCATCAATGGAGTTTTTCATTACAGGTGGAATATTATTCCAGATCTGAAATTATAAGGAAAATATATATTCCCTTTTTGTTTTCCCTGTCCTGTCAGGCAGTGTAGCAATGTACAGTCTGATGCTGTAGTGTAGTTTTCTCTCTTACTACAGTGACAGTAATTACTCATCATTCAGTGCTCCTTTGACGCTCTCTTCTTTCTGACAGCCTGTTATGACAGTGTGCGTGTATATTTACATAGAGATATACATATATTTGTGTGTGTGAGACATGACAGTCTACAGTCAGCTCCTGGAGCTAATGCAGCAGCTCAGCTTTTACCAGCAACACTGACATTACAGGTTGAAAAGGTCAAATGGAGCAACAAAGCTCTTAGTCAGTCAGCTGGTGGTTGCTAAACTAAAAGTGGTTGCTGGGCAGATTTGGCAGCATTTTCTTGCTCACACACCCTGATCACTTTCTCACATGTTCTTTTTCTTTTTTCCACCTCCTTCTCTCCCCGTCTAGCTGCCTTCTTCCAATGTAACAGATTTGAGAGGTGTTTCATTACGCTCGCTCCTCCTTCACCGTCTTCAGTCATGCATCCCAACAACAGGACAGATGCCTATCAGCCTTTTTTAAGTCTACCTGTATGCACTAAATTCAGACTTCTAGCACACATACAACAGCTGAGAAACATTCCTGCCACAGGCTGCAGAGTGTCTTTGTGTATGTGCTCAAAGGTTTTTGGCTTCAGGATATGAATAAGCAAACACAGAGTAAGTGGGTTCCTCTGTATTCTGTCACCTGTGTGTGACAATTTCAGCGGAGCAATCTCACATCCCGAGGAGTCTCCCTATTTTATCCCAAGAGAGCGTGTAGCTTTTGCACCACTAAAGAAATGAATTTACACCACAACATGCACAAGAACACAGTCTTTAAATATTAATGATATCTGCCTAGTAACCAAGCATGAGCTCTCCGTGGAATCCTCTGCAGCTTTTGCCCAAGTTTGAGAGAGAGGTCAGCTGTTCAGTCAAATGAAAGGATTTATGGCGGGAACACTGAGAGGTGGCGAGTTTGGGGATGTGGGTAGGGCAACATCAAAGATGGATCAAGAATCTGCTCTTGCCTTCTCTGCCATTTCTTGGTAAGTACAGTGGTGGACAACCTCCTGTGGCCACTGAGCACCTGCAGGGTAAAGCTGGGAGTGAAACTGATTTGCGAATGGATGGATTCATTTCCTGGGACACTCTGCCGGGAATCACTGTGAAGATTCATAATCAGGTTCCAGCAGCCCGAGAGCTCGGAGGTGATTTCAGTTGCTGGTTTAGAGACAAAAAAAAAAAAATCCATGAGGAACTCTTCCCAGCTTGAAAAGTGTTCCCACTCAAAACAGCTTGCCTGTGTAACCTTCATGCTAGACATGACAGCCATCTTTCTTTCTGACTCTCAAACTTCTCACATTTTATTCTCTTGGGGTTCTTTCTGGGAGAAAAAAAACCCCTAGATGGATTCTCAGGCAAAAATAGTCTTCAGTGTTTATACATGCTTCAGTCATAGTGTTTGCATACAAATGTCCCACCAGCATGCCCTTAACCCATATAATCTCATCAGCTTCTCTCGAGACTCCGGTTGTAAGTGTTGCTTTGTTTGATGTTAGTGCATGTTATAACTTCTGGCAGAGTCATGTGCTGTTATCGTGTGCACATACTGTATTATTCATCTACCTGTGGCTGTTTTAAAAGAAAAAACAGGGCAGTTAATGAAAATATGATTCAGCAAAGTAAAAGTTTAAAGGTGAATTCAAGTCTAATCTATTTCAGCTTTAGTGCTCAATAATATGTATTGAATCTCCTGTACTCATGTAAATTATTCGATCAAGAGTGAAGTATCTGCTATAATCATCCCTCCTCCATCCCTCTCTCCGTCCGTCCATCTACTGTCATGAACCGAAGTTCCGCGCACAAGCTGGACCCAGAAGCAGAACTCACACACCAGGGTAGGAGAGAATAAAGAAACCAAATTTTATTATAACTAAAGGTGTCCCGTGAGGGTAGCCGGAAAAAAACAACGTATGGAACCAGAAAACACAGAGGGACCGGGGAGGTGAGTCGCGCAGGGAACGCTGAGAGCAGGGCTGTGGGAGGCTGCAACAGAAAAAGGAAAAGGATTATTGGGGTGCGCGGAAATGGCAGTATACGAGGGGAGGTAGAGTATGCGTCTTACGATGATAGCGGGGCCGAGGGAGCCGGAGGGAGGGGTGAGGGTCCGCGGGGGAGCTCCAGAAAAGTCGAGGCGGCGAGTGCTGATCGAGATCCAAATTCCAGACGGGCAGGTGGACAGGCAGGTGGCTCAAAACACGCCGAGTTGAGATCTGAGTACACAGGGCAGAGTTAGTGTTAGTTCAGACGAATAAATTTTCACAAGGGCTTTCCCGCAGGTGTACGTTACCGCTGAGAGGCGACTACGGACTGCCGTGGAGCGGCAGGCTGGGCAGGATTAAATAGTCCACCTGGTGATCGCCTGGGATGGGATGCAGGTGTGGAGTTAGCAGCCACGCCCGTGGGCGTGGGCATCCCATCCGCACCTCGGACGCCGGGCCGCGGACCATGACATCTTCTTTGTTGCTTAAAGGTCATGGGTATTCTGGAGTCCATCCCACTATCATAAGGTGCGCCTGGATTGGTTGTCAGAGCTAAAACAGACAGAGAGAAACATTTGATGCATCCACAGATGTGTATGTTGAACCTCTAATGGCAGAAATTGTTATCTTCTGTACTCAGATTGTGGGGGTATATGCCTCACTCAAAAGATATTAGGTTTAGATATTAGACTATTGACCCTGGAAAAATTGGATTCTACACAGCAACTTTAACACAGGGCATTCACCGAACGTGGCCAACAACAGGAAATAGTCCTCTACAGACACATTTTCACTGGTGGACATACTAAGTGCGAGGTAGGCGAGATAAATAGATCAATGTACTCACATTTTTTTCTTTGGTTGTCTTTATTGTCAAAGAGCTTTAAACTACAAGTTACATTTTAACCACACCCTCGTGCAGTATTTTATTCTATAAACTTCAAGCACTTGACCTACCTCACATCCATGATCAGTTTAGATTCACAAATGTGCATCTTGTACTGTTTGAGGTTGTCGGATTACCTGGTGAGGGTCCACACAAGCACAGGGAAAGCATGCAAACTCTCCACAGCAAGATTCAAGCCCACCCAGGAACCTCCCCTCAGACTTCTTTATGATATAAATTAGTGTATGATACTAAAAAGGCCTTAGTATTGCATGGAGCCTCCACAGTAAAGGACTGAGGGATAAAACAGAGTGTTAGCCACACTGTAGCACACATAGCCTGCATCATGAAATTAACTGTAAGAGAAAATGACCAACTTTGTCTCAGCAGGCTAAAGTTACAAAGTGATATTGAGATGTTCTCAAGATCATGCATATTCACATATTCAATAACACTTACTAAACCAAAGGGAAAAGGACATTTTATCTTCTCATCTGCCTTTATCTACCCTCACTCCAGGGATTTTTGTCCTTCGCAGGGCCTGGATCTCACTGTCCTGAGCCTATTATTATCACCTGACTGCAGATGACTTTCATTTAGAGTCAACATGTCAACTTTATTGTCATTTTCCCCTCCAGTGAACATTTTGCTTGTACACTCAGCCATCGCAGAACATCAGCTTGGATGAGAGGGTTTCTGGAAAAGACAAGATGGGATTGTTTATAAAATCCCTGCCCGTGACTCCTCCCCGTCAACAGCCAGCAGAACAAGAAAACAAAAACCAGAAGATGCATTTACTTGCTCGAACTTTTATGAAGACACGCAGACAGGGAGGCATTCATGAAAGTCTCAGTTTGGATGTTGTATTAGATTAATAGCAAAGCTCTGCTGAAAATGCTTCACAAAAGCCTACACCAGCTGTCCTTTGGTAGGAATGAGACAATGCAGTCCTCTTAAACACATCAGGGTGACAACTGCAAAAGAGGATTGAGTCGATGCTCACCAGCCAATCCTCAGCACGCCCCCTCCCTATCCACCCAGTAAGAAGGAGCTTAAAGACAAACCACATGGGGATCAAGAATCCGTGGACCAAGTGGCAGCTTGGCTAACACCATGAAATCTCACCACTGAAGCCCATCTTGGTTATTGACGTATTGCATTTTAAAGACACACGCCCCACTTCTTGTGACGTTTTTGTCCATGAGCGCTCATGTGGCACGAGGGCAGCCTGAACAAAGGCCTCAACACGCAGTGACCTCTAGATATCACCTTTGAACCGCTGCCCTGTGCCCACAGTCCGCAATGAGCTTTGCATGGAAATAATCACAGTATTGACCCCTTGAAGGCAATCGGTCAAATGGTGCACCAATCAGCTGCTTTAGTGACAAAGCCACAGAACACTGTGCCCACAAAGCTCAGCTCTGAGCATGCTCATTCCCATCTGGACCTCAAAAGTGCTGCTATGGATTGTTTTAGAAATAACCTGACTGCACAAAACATAATGCTGCTTTTTCTGCATTTTATTTCTTTATGTTCTTCAGCAGATACTTGTTCAGAGTTCCCCGTGAGCAGCCACAGTCCCATCAGAGAGGAAGCCACTTAACCTCTAACTAGTCCAGTTTAGGTATGAGGTAGAAACCAGAGAAAAGTACTTTTGACCTTGGGAGTTTCTAGATGTGAAAGTGTAAAGAGCAGAGTATTCCTGACAAAGGGTGCTTGTTCTAATTCTCCATCTCATTCTTTAAAACACAAAGAAGAACAGATTTAGCGCACCAGGGTCAAACGCTGTGATTAATGTTTCTTGCTAGAATATGTCAAGGCAAAGAGAAACATTATTCTTTCTAATATGTCTGATTCATGCCCAGACTACCAATCAATATCAGATGACTGTTACTGAACAACAGTCTTTTCTTTTTCCCCAGAATAAGTGCAGCAATAGAATAAAACAACCTAGATTTAATTTTCTGATGCGACAATACACACTGTCGGGAAGAAATGAATAAGAGTTGCCTGCGAAGGAGCTATAGTGGGAGGGTTGGAGGACTTGGTGTGGGGCGATGACTTGCATTTCTATTACAGTTTTGCATAAATTGTCACTCTACGACCAACAAGTGGAACTGATGCCATGTAAGGTCTGGCAGGGTTGCCCTTTGAGGCAGAAAAAGAGAGCAGAGAAAGAGGCTTGCAAATTTGCATTCTCCAGCAGAGCAGATGGAGCATCTGCCATCCATATGCATGAGGCATACGGCTGCCAGCCTATCACCTTGACCCCTTGCTATGGGATTCTGACCTTGAGACTCAATGGAAGAGAATGGGACCAGTCTGAGCTGTGATGGCAAGGCTTTATTCCTTGGGTGGGAAAAGTGACTCCAGTATTCCAGGCTGGGCCTGAGCCTATGAAGGAATGCCTATCCTCTCCCCAACACCTGCCTTGGTGCATGCAATGTTAGTAAATGATGTATGGGAGGAGGAGACAAATGCGAAAATGTCACAAAGACACTTCTGTATCTCAGGCAGATGCCTTGGAAAAGAGAACGGCTTTCAGAGAGGGGTGAACGCTGGGGAAAAAACAAAAACAACAACACTTTTTTTGGCTTTTCTCAAAAAGATGTCCCTAGAAGTCCCCAATAATTGTTAAACCGACAAGTCCGTCCAAATGTAACTGCAAATATTTTAATAGGTGGAAAAATGTGATGTAGGTTCATATCTCTTCCATCATCATTTATTTGAAATCGAACACCGATGCAGTGCTTTCCCATTTGGTATACTGACAATAGCAATGGCAGTAACAGCTATTTAATTATACAATTAACCTTTACTCTGTACCAGGGAAACTCAAAACAATTATGTTGAAAAATGCTACAGGAATGACTGCAATCCATAATTTAAATGAACTTTTCACATGGCCGTCTTGGCCCTGTTTGGTCCCTTGTGCGAAAACTGATTTCTCTCTCTCAGTGATGGGAATTTAATTCTGCCTCAGAATGCCAATGTAGGTGACCTTTGCATAAAAAAACAGATGGAAACACAATGACATGCCATTTTGTAACGACACGCCAGAGAAATTAATGATATCTATCGAAACGTGTCAGCTGATGACAAAACATTAACATCCCGGAGACATGGAACTGACGCACCTGGTGTCGCGACATGAATTGTGTTCATCTTTCTTCCAACTCAGCGTCAAGTTATTCACTAAATGAAGCCACTGTAATGTCATAACTGTCTCGATGCCATCTTTGTGCTGAAACTGGATTTTATGTCTCTGTGAAAGCACTCGCTCATAGAGGCGACAGATTTGTGATTGGCAAGTCATTAGCCCTACGGGCATGAGCTTTCTTTGTTACTATTACAATTCACAAAATGTGCTCAATGGTCTATTATTAACGTGAAAGAAAGCTTGTCATTAAAAGGAAGGCAGACACTTCCCCACAGTGGTTTTTGTTTTGTTTTTTCATTTTGTTTGAATTTCCATTTAATTTTGCCTTTTTGTTTTGAATTCAGAATAGAAAATATGCTAGCTACCCAACAGTTACAGGATTATTAAAGAGCTGCTGGTCGCTGCAGTCCCTGTGTGACTGCATCCAGCTAAATTTCATGTTGTGTAAATTTGCAGCTGGGTAAAGTTTTAAATTATGAAGAGAAACCAGGATTTACTACCTAGACCAATCCAGACCTGTATCTCTCAGCAAAAGGTAAATAAGCACACAATGAACTTGCTTATCCATCAGGATTATACATATTCCTTATATCACTACAGAGCTCTGTGGTGATTAATGAAGACCTATAACTTACCTCAGAGTGATGCAACATAAAGCATAGAAGCTCCCCGTCTGATTCATACACTTAACTTTATTTAACCGCTGCAGTATATCACTATTTTGAGCACACCTATTTGTCAGTATTCCCAGCTCAGACACTGACAACACATTTGTCACTGTAACAGAGGGATTCCCATGTGGAGGAAGAGAGTATTTCTGCTCGGAAATCCTCCTGCAGAGGAGAGCTGGTTGGGAAAACGAGGGCATGCACGCCAAAATGAGACTGTTTGCATGGCAGCGAGTATAGGGGAGAAGTTCTCCGGAGAGAGAGAGAGAGAGAACCAGAGTGTGTCTCCTTGAAAATGTTGCTGAAGTAAGCAGAATAAAGAGACAGCAAATACAAGCTGGGTTATGATGGTGTGTGAGGCGTCAAAGAGTTCAGCCAACAAATGTGCAGCACCTGCTGCGCAGCACGTAGTTTCGTGGTACAATTTAATGTTGCACATGTTTTCGTTACATATCTCCAAACGCTAATTGCTAATTGTGTGGTGACTCAGACTAGCAGAGCTGTACATGTGCAGCCTTACACACATGAGGCGAGAGGAGGGGGACATGGGGAATGAATTTACACTTCCAACATGAAGAGACAGTGGGCGACCGTGGCTCAGGGGGGTTGGGAATCGCATCTGTAACCGGAAGGTCGCCGGTTCGATCCCTGGGCTCTCTGTCCTGGTCGTTGTGTCCCTGGGCAAGACACTTTACCCTACTTGCCTACTGGTGTTGGCCAGAGGGGCCGATGGTGCGATATGGCAGCCTTGCTTCTGTCAGTCTGCCCCAGGGCAGCTGTGGCTACAACTATAGCTGCCCTCACCAGTGTGTGAATGTGAGAGTCAATGAATAGTGGCATTGTAAAGCGCTATATAAATCCAATTCATTATTATTATTAACATGTTGGTATATTAGAAGGAGTACACTGAACCACAGACAGAATGACTTTAAGAAGAACTTAATTAGTGAGTGTAACTTATCAGGTATGTCTGTGAAGGTTCTCAGTCATCCAGGTCATCGTAGTCTAAGGAGCTTGGAAAGAAAAGCGTCGGGACTTCTCTGAGTTGCTTGAAGACGTTTCACCTCTCATCTGAGAGGCTTCTTCAGTTCTAAGGTCAAATGGTGGAGAGTCCCAGATTTAAGTCCTGGAGGTCTAAACCAGACCTCCATATTGGAGAGACCAAACAGCCACTTCATA